CCAAGAAACTGTAAAGATTTCCCTCAACTCCTCCACAATACAGCTTTAAAGCTGACCTAAAAAACGTTGTTTATGATCAAGACCAGCCCTAAATGAATTAGTGGGTGAAAGGGGAGTGGGTGGGGTAAATATGCTGTCATTATTAGACAGCAGATGTGTACTTCTGATAAAGCAATCTCCAGCCTTTAATCAGTAGAGAAGGCTACTTGGCACTAAACTCAGGAACACTGGGGAGGCCTTTTTTTCTTTTGGGGGGGAGGATAACAGTAAGAAAAGTAAACTTGAAACTAATATCTTACTTTGCTTCAGTAAGATATTAAAGGCAAATGCACCAGGAAAGAGACATACGGATGCTGCAGAAGCACCTCAAGTCTGTCACCAGCCCCAGTCCAGATTATGATTGTATTTACAAGTCTCACTGTTTTTGGTCCTCACCATCTCGTACTGTCTGCATGGCCAGCTGTACTTTATCGTCGCTGTACTCCTTACATTTACTGTAGGCACTCTGGATTTTTTTCAGGTGTTCCACTCGCTCCTCGGGCAACATGTTCTTCACGGATTCAATGTATTCTGCTGCAAGACTGTCAATTTCTGCTTTCTTATCTGAAAAGCAGAGACACAGTACACATACGTGAGAAAGCCATCTTCCAAAGGAAGTATTTTTACCTTCTACCTCTCTCTAGTATTTAGAAGACCCCTCCTGAGAGTTTTTGGACTTGCCTTAATTCTTTAATGCATTTACCTTTTTTTATTAAAGATTAATTTAAAGGCATACTGTCTTCAACACCTGTGGTATAGTGCTGGTTTCTCAAGTCTTTTGCTGTTCAGAGGAGAGGCTCAGTTAAGACCAGAAACTGAATCAATAGGTTCACAAACTTCAACCTCTCTTTCCATATGAAGAACACTGTATTTGCTGCATGAATCTATTTTAATGTCTCAAATTGAAAATCACTAGTGTATAATCACATGTCAACAGAAACCTCAAAAAAAAAAAGAAGGAAAAGAAGTCTTAAAGGCATGCAGCAATCTACAATTCAGTAGACGTGAATATAAGTATGTCTGACAGCAAGGATGTCTGAGGGGCAATCAGGTACAGTGACCACAATTATACATAACTACAAATTAGCAAGCAACAGCTGAAAATGAAGCCCCGTGCCCAGTGAGCTGTAGGGCTCACAGAGAACCAGCATGAGACTGGCTGAGGGAAACAGGGAGCCTCCTGAGTTGGAAGGGACCCACACAGATGACCGAGTCCCACTCCTGGATGCATACAGGACACCCAAAAACCAAACCGTGTGTCTCAAAGCCTCGTCCAAACGCTTCTTGAACTCCAGCAGCTCGGTGCTGTGACCCTGAGGAGCCTGTCCCGGTGCCCGGCCACCTCTGGGTGCAGACCCTTTCCCTGACAACCTCCTCCGACCCTCCCCTGTCCCAGCTCCGTGCCGTCCCCTCGGGTCCCGTCGCTGTCCCCAGCGGGCAGAGCTCAGCGCCTGCCCCTCGGGAGGGAGCTGCAGGCTGCCCCGAGGCCTCCCCTCACCCTGCTCGGCTCCGGGCCGAACAAACCCAGGCAGCAGCCCCCCTGCGCCCCTTCCCCTTCCCCTCACCCCACCGCGGCTCCCCAGCGCCCGCCGCCTCCTCACGCACCTTCCGTGCGCTGGTCGAGCTCCCGCATCAGCTGGAAGTTGCGCTGCAGCTCGCAGGGCAGGTTCTCGATGCCTGAAACGAGCACAGAGCCCCCTCAGCGCCGCGCCTCCCCCCCCCCACGGCCCCACCGCCCGCCGCCCCCCGCGCCCGGCGCTCACTGTCCAGGTAGTGCTCCAGGTACATGGCGGCCGCCATCTTGCGCCGCCCGCCCCGCCCCGCCGCCGGCCGGCCCCGACCTCGTCACGTATTGAGTTCCCCTCTCCTACTGCCCGCCTCTTTCTGCAGCTTCACGGAATCACAGGATTTCTAGCTCGGAAGAGACCTCAAGATCATCGAGTCCAACCTCTGACCTAACGCTAACAGTTCCCACTAAACCATATCCCTAAGCTCCACATCTAAACGTCTTTTAAAGACCTCCAGGGATGGTGAGTCCACCACCTCCCTGGGCAGCCTGTTCCAATGCCTCACAACCCTTTCAGTAAAGAAGTTCTTCCTAACATCTAACCTAAAACTCCCCTGGTGCAACTTTAGCCCATTCCCCCTCGTCCTGTCACCAGGCACGTGGGAGAACAGGCCAACCCCCACCTCGCTACAGCCTCCTTTAAGGTACCTGTAGAGAGCAATAAGGTCGCCCCTGAGCCTCCTCTTCTCCAGGCTGAACAAGCCCAGCTCCCTCAGCCACTCCTCGTAGGACTTGTTCTCCAGGCCCCTCACCAGCTTCGTCGCCCTTCTCTGTACTCTTTCGAGCACCTCCATGTCCTTCTTGTAGCGAGGGGCCCAAAACTGAACACAGCACTTGAGGTGCAGCCCCACCAGAGCCAAATACAGGGGGACAATCACTTCCCTAGCCCTGCTGGCCACACCCTAGACCTGCTTCTTATACAAGCCAGGATGCCGTTGGCCTTCTTGGCCACCTGAGCACACTGCTGGCTCATATTCAGCCGACTGTCCACCATCACTCCCAGGTCCTTCTCTGCCTGGCAGCTCTCCAACCACTCCTCTCCCAGCCTGTAGCTCTGCTTGGGGTTATTGCGCCCCAGGTGCAGGACCCGGCACTTGGCCTTGTTGAACTTCATGCAGTTGACCTCAGCCCATCGGTGCAGCCTATCCAGATCCTCCTGCAGAGCCTTCCTACCCTCGAGCAGATCGACACACGCACCTAACTTGGTGTCATCTGCAAACTGACTGAGGGTGCACTCAATGCCCTCGTCCAGATCATTGATGAAGATATTAAAGAGGACCGGCCCCAGCACCGAGCCCTGGGGGACGCCACTAGTGACTGGCCTCCAACTGGACTTGACTCCATTTACCACGACTCTTTGGGCCCGGCTATCCTGCCAGTTTCTAACCCAACGAAGCGTGCGCCAGTCCAAGCCAAGAGCAGCCAGTTTCTTGAGGAGAATGCTGTGGGAGACGGTGTCAAAAGCCTTGCTGAAGTCAAGGTAGACCACATCCACAGCCTTTCCCTCGTCCACCCAGCGCGTCACTTTGTCATAGAAGGAGATCAGGTTCGTCAAGCAGGATCTGCCTTCCATAAACCCATGCTGACTGGGCCTGATAGCCTCCTTGCCCTGCAAGTGCCGCATGATGACTCTCAAGAGGATCTGCTCCATGAGCTTCCCTGGTACTGAGGTCAAACTGACAGGCCTGTAGTTCCCCGGGTCTGCCCTCCGGCCCTTCTTGTAGATGGACGTCACATTTGCTAGCCGCCCGTCAGCTGGGACCTCCCCCGATAGCCAGGACTGCTGATAAATGATGGATAGGGGCTTGGCCAGCTCCTCTGCCAGTTCTCTCAGTACCCTTGGGTGGCAGAAAGAAGAAGCCAGAAGAGCCTGGCTCCATCTCCTTTGCACCTTCTCTTCACATATTGAGATCCTTCAGCCAGATCCCCACAGGCCTTCTCCACAACGAGCAGTCACGGCTCTCTCCAGCTCTCCCCAGAGGACAGATGCTCCAGTCCTGCCACCAGCTTGGCTGCCATTCACTGCGCTCCCTCCAGTAGGCCCATGGCTCTCCTGTCCTGGGGAGCCCAGAACTGGACCCAGGCCTCCAGCTGGGGCAACTCCAACAAGCCTCGGGCCCTCCAGCTTTCCTCCCCAGGGCCTCAGCTTCAAGCTTCCCTGGCGTCAACTCCGGGAGGATCCTGCCAGGCCATTTCTGGAGGGCAGCACCACCCTCTGGTGCATCCCTATCTCCTCCCAGCTTGGATCAGCAGCAGACTTGCTGAGGGCACGGCCTGCTCCGCCCTGCGGATCATTCATGAAGAGGCTGGGCAGGACTGGGCCTGGACGTGACATTGTTGCTACTTCGTGTCCCAGCCTCGCATCTCTAGTGGGTTTCTGTGGCAAGGTTTGGGTAGCAGGGGGCCGTAGGGGTGGCTTCTGTGAGAAGACTCTAGAAGCTGCCCCATGTTAGATAAGGGCCCCGCTGCTGGCCAGAGCCAAGCCAACAAGCAGCGACTCTGTGAGAGCATGTTAAAGACGGTAAAAACAAAACAAAACAAAACAAAACAAAACAAAACAAACATGTCTACAGAGCAGCTGGGAGAGGGAAAGGAGTGAGAAACAGCCTTGCAGCCCATGGAGTACCACAGTGGAGCAGGGGTCCACGCTGCAGCCCGTGGAGGAGACCACGGGGGAGCAGGGAAGAGGTGGAAGAGGATGGGTGGGGGAAAGGTGTTGTTGTTGTTGTTTCATTTTGTTTCTTTGTTTCTCACTTCTCTGCTTCTCCAGCAGCCCGTGAGCCATCTCCCTGTGCCCTCCTCACAAGCCACGAGGGTTTCTCCCTCGTGTTTTCTCTCCCTGTCACGCTGAGGAGGGAACGAGACAGCAGCTGGGTGGGCACCTGGCCGCCAGCCTAGGCCAAGCCACCACGGCCATTCACGGGGATGAAGAGGCTGCACCGTGGGCTTGGAAGCCCAGGGGGTGTCTGTGAGGCTGGGGGAGCTCCTGGGCCCTGCCGCATCATCCACCATTCCGTGGTCTCCTAGTGACACGGAGGGATCACAACGACACCAGTGACACAGGCGAGGCTGTGAGGGACTTTGCGTCTCTAGTGAGCGCCAGGCGTGGAGGCAGCAGCTCCTGGCAGCGAGGCGAGGCCAGGCGAGGCGAGGAGTTGCTGCGCAGCATGGCTGCTGGAGAGGAGGAGAAGGCCCCTGAGGCACAGGAGGACGGTGAGAGCAGATGCCCCAGCAGCTCCCTGGAGGTGGAGGGCCCTGAGCACCCCCTGGGGCTGTGCAGAGCCGCTTGGGCTGTGGACACCCGGGGACGCCCTGCCAGGAGCCCCCGAGCAGGCCCTTGCGGGCGTCCCTCGGGGACGCCTGCCAGGTGCTCAGTGGGGGGATGCTCTCATCCATGGCTGCCGCCCTGCCTCCCCCAGAGTGCGTGCTGTGCCACTGCTCGGACACCAGCTTGGATGGCTGCGGGCCGATGTTGAAGGTGGACGGGGTCTGCGCCCACGTGCACTGCCTGGTGAGCTCCCCGCGGCTGCCCGCGCCTTTCCCCGACCCCTTGCCTGGCACCTGGAGCCCACAGGACTGTGTCATCCCCAGCGCGCTGCTCGCTGGCTGTCACCTCCTCCTGCTGCGCTGCCAGCACAGCCTCCCCACCATGGTCCCTATGTCCTTGCCCTGAGCAGCTGCGGGGCTTTGCTGTCTTCCAGTATCCAGCCCAGGGCCTGTACCAGCGAGGCCCTGAAGGGGAAGGAATCTTGGGATTCCGCTGCGCGGATATCAGGCGGGTAGCGGGTCGGGCAGCTCGCAAGGTGAGGGCTTTTTTGGAGCAGACGAGGCTTGTGGCAGCTGAGCCCAAGCCCTGGCAAAGAAATCCTCGAGGCTCTGGACAAGCTCTGGGCAAGTCCCAGTGGCCCCGGCCACGTCCCTGACGGGGCTGCTGTGCTCTTTGCAGCGCTGCTGCGTCTGCCGCAAGAAGGGGGCCACCGTCGCCTGCCGGCAGAAGCGGTGCTCGCGCCGCTTCCACCTTCCCTGCAGCTCCCAGCGGGGCTGCATCTCGCAGTTCTTTGGGAAGTACAGGTACGAGCTGCCCTAGCTTGGGCTGCAGCCCCCTCAGCCTGCGCCCTGCAGGCAGAGTCCCCGGTGTGGCATGCGTGGTCCCTGGCCTCACTCAACTCTTCCGTCCTCACGCAGCTCCTTCTGCTGGGAGCACCGCCCGCAGCAGACCGTGGAGACACTGCAGGAGGGGCACACCACGTGCATCATCTGCATGGAGGTGGTGGAGGACAGCCTGTCCTACACCACCATGGTGTGCCCCTCCTGCAAGCACGCCTGGTTCCACCGGGGCTGCATCCAGGTAGGAGGCCCTTCCCTCTGCCAGCCCGCAGGGACACCATGCGCCCGCAGCGGCGTCCTGCTCACACGGGGAGTCTCTCTTCCACAGGGACAGGCGCTTCGGACGGGCCTCAGGCACTTTGCGTGCCCCACTGCCGGGACTGGGAGCGCTTTGTCCCTGAGATGCTTCAGATGGGAATCTGCGTGCCCAACAAGTGCGTTCCTTCCTTCCTTCCTTCCTTCCTTCCCACCCCACTCAAGGCAGGAGAGGGCACAGCCCCAGGCCCTAATCCCTCCAGGCAGACTGTCCCCAACAAAAGGGGCTGCCTGCCTGGGGGACAGGAGGACGCTGGCCTGCTGCCAGGGATGCCCCTGAGCCCTGTCCCAGCATCAGCACTGACACTTGCTGAGTGCCCCATGAGCTCGTGACCTTTCTTTCCTACTTTCTCTTGAAGAAAGCCGGCTTGGGAGCAGGAGGAGGAGCTGGCACTGCCACAGCTGCATGGCCGCTGCGATGCCAGGCAGTGCCTGTACAGGGGAGGCCGGGAGCAGTGGCAAGAGGAAGGGTGAGCATCCACAGCAGCAGCTCCCCGGCTGCTGGGGGCTGTGAGCCACATCTCCAGCAAGCCGTGCAGTGGCTGCTGGGGCTCTGCCCAGGCACCTTCCCCTCTGCTGGGGCGCCATGAGCAATGGTTCTGGAGCCCTGGGGGCCTTTGTGGCGCCACTGCCTGCTGGGCTCTGCGTGCTCACCAGCACAACTTCTTCCCCAGGCCCTGGCAGCTCCTGCTCTGCTCCTCCTGTGCCGCCAGCGGGACCCACCGCCGCTGCTCCGGCCTTGCGGACACCACCCAGCAGTGGGAGTGCGCTGGCTGCGCTGGCCCGGGCACTGGCACTGGTAAGGGGCACGGCGCGCTCAGGCTCGGGGCGGCAGAGCCCTCCATGCCCTCTCAGGGAAGGACCGCAAAGCTGGGGCCTCTGCAGGCCAGGCAGGGTGGGCAGATCTGCTGACCTTCCTGCCTCCCCTTGCAGCTCCCAGCTCCTCTCCCTCACCACCGGAGAGGAGAGCCGGCCGTGGCAGGGTGCTGCCCCAGCGCCACAGCCCCTACAGCCGGCCACAGCCCTGAGCCTGCAGGCACGCCTGGTTCCACCGGGGCTGCATCCAGGTAGGAGGCCCTTCCCTCTGCCAGCCCGCAGGGACACCATGCGCCCAAGCAGCGTCCTGCTCACACGGGGAGTCTCCCTTCCACAGGGACAGGCACTTCGGGCACTTGCTCTGCTTCTCCTGTGCCGCCAGCGGGACCCACCGCCGCTGCTCCGGCCTTGGGGACACCACCCAGCAGTGGGAGTGCGCTGGCTGCGCTGGCCCAGGCACTGGTAAGGGGACATGGGGTGCTCAGGCTCGGGGTGGCAGAGCCCTCCGTGCCCTCTGCAGGCCAGGCAGGGTGGGCAGATCCGCTGACCTTCCTGCCTCCCCTTGCAGCTCCCAGCTCCTCTCCCTCACCACCCGAGAGGAGAGCCGGCCGTGGCAGGGTGCTGCCCCAGCGCCACAGCCCCTACAGCCGGCCACAGCCCTGATCCCGGCCTGGGGACAGAAGATCCATCCTGGTGTCCCGCTGCCAGACAGGGTCAGGCTGTGCACTTGCGGGCGTCCTTCACGGAGAGGACCTCAAGGAGGTGCTCAGTGGGGGAACGCTCGCACCCAAAGGCAGGCGAGGGGTGGCACTCAGCTCCTGCCGAGATGAGGGGATGGAGCTGAGACACGGCGAAGGAGCTGGGACTTGCTGAGGAGGAAGAGCCATGGAGCCAGGATAAGAGATGGAGGCGAGACCAAGCCTGGAACTGGATGGGGAGATGGAGCTGGGTCTCCGCGACAGAAATGCGCCTGGGTGATGGAGCCAGGACGGAGATGGAATTGGGATGGTCACAGAGCCACGCTGGTAGGGAGAGAGCTTGGGCAGGAGATGATCCCTCAAGCTGGAAGGGACCCCCCAGTGCTCTCCTATGTTTGTAAACTGTCCCTACAGCGCAGAGGCAGGTAGTTAGCCTAAGCCAGAGCCTGAGAACAATGTTTACCAGGAAGAACAAAAACAGCGCACAAAGCTGACCCAAAGGAGAAAACAACTCCCTTGTTTCCCATTCTGCTCTTTCCCTCAGCCACTCAGCACACAGTGTGCTGCAGCTCGCTTGCATTTTCCTGTGCATTTTCTTGTACAAATAAAGTGTGTTTGGTTTCTTGTCTATGTGATTATCACTTCTTGAACACTCAGACTAAGACATAAATACACACAAAACACCCACCCCGCAAAAAAGAAAAAAGAAGAAAGGAGGCACTGCTATTTAAGAAAACAGACCTGACCACCAAGCAGGAAGGTGACCCCCAGTGCTGTGCTCAGCAGAAGCAGAGCCTCAGCACGTGGGCACTTGAACAACTCTGAGAAGAGTCAAGGCAGAGACAGACCAACCAAATCAGGACTGGAGCACAAACAAACATTTAGCCAACACTTTTTTTTTTTTATTAAAGGAATATATTTATTAAAGAATAACTTAAAAGCGGTTGTGGCCTTGAACTACCTTCTCCTACCAGAAGCTGATGCTCAGCCTCCGCTTTGGAAGAAGGCTCTATGCAGAGTTACCACCCAAAGACAGCAATATTCTCCTTTCAGCATTATGGATTGAAATACGGTGTCCTGTGAAGGGGCTCCAGCAAAGAGAGTTCAAGCCAAACAAGTTGCAGCAATGGTCTGGCTGCAAATAGAAGGATAGATAGAAGGTACTTCATCAATATAAGCCTCCCCACCTCCCATACGGACACAACACCTCCTGGCTTGGTCTGGAGGCCAGCCTCGCCTCAGCTCTCCCTTGCAGTCACCAGCCAGCCTGGAGCTTCCCCTACACAGGAGGCCACAGCCCCTTCCTTGCTCAGGACCACCCCCAAGCACTCCCAGCTGCAGAGGAAAGGGCCAGGTGCCCACGAAGACACACCAGGTTCACAAGACTACAAGTGCCAGGCCCAGCCCCATCACAAGCACAGGTCTTTACAGAAAAGGCTGTTCTTGCTCTTCCCATCACTACTAACCCTTGAGAATGTGACAGGGAGGCAGAGGATGCCCAGAAAGAAGGGAGAAGAACACGACACATCAGTTGAGCGATTAAGGAAGCATCAAACCAGAGATGTCTGCAGAGGACAGAAAAGCTCTATCAGGAACCATTCAGTCCCTCCTTCCCTCAAACAAAAGAGGAAGCAAGAAAAATGGAGGAAAAGCTTCAATGCAAGAAGACCTTGCAAATCCAGAACGGCATCCTCCTGGCAGCCTCCTTCACAGCTGCCCCGCTGCTCGGGCCTGGCTGAATGGCCGCGCTTTGGTTCAGGTCCCTGCAAAACCACCGGACACACAGTGGGCTCGGGCTTGGAAGGCACCTCTGCAGGTCACCTGCTCCAACCCCCATGCTCAAGCAGAGCCACCTGCAGCCATGTGGACACTGGGCACCACTGAGAATCACACAATCACAGAATTTCTAGGTTGGAAGAGACCTCAAGATCATCGAGTCCAACCTCTGACCTAACGCTAACAGTTCCCACTAAACCATATCCCTAAGCTCTACATCTAAACGTCTTTTAAAGACTTCCAGGGATGGTGACTCCACCACCTCCCTGGGTAGCCTGTTCCAGTGCCTAACAACCCTTTCGGTAAAGAAGTTCTTCCTAACATCTAACCTAAAACTCCTTTGGCGCAACTTGAGACCATTCCCTCTCGTCCTGTCACCAGGCACGTGGGAGAACAGGCCAACCCCCACCTCTCTACAGCCTCCTTTAAGGTACCTGTAGAGAGCAATAAGGTCGCCCCTGAGCCTCCTCTTCTCCAGGCTGAACAAGCCCAGCTCCCTCAGCCGCTCCTCGTAGGACTTGTTCTCCAGGCCCCTCACCAGCTTTGTCGCCCTTCTCTGTACTCTTTCGAGCACCTCCATGTCCTTCTTGTAGCGAGGGGCCCAAAACTGAACACAGCACTTGAGGTGCGGCCTCACCAGAGCCAAATACAGGGGGACAATCACTTCCCTAGCCCTGCTGGCCACACCCTAGACCTGCTTCTTATACAAGCCAGGATGCTGTTGGCCTTCTTGGCCACCTGAGCACACTGCTGGCTCATATTCAGCCGACTGTCCACCATCACTCCCAGGTCCTTCTCTGCCTGGCAGCTCTCCAACCACTCCTCTCCCAGCCTGTAGCTCTGCTTGGGGTTATTGCGCCCCAGGTGCAGGACCCGGCACTTGGCCTTGTTGAACTTCATGCAGTTGACCTCAGCCCATCGGTGCAGCCTATCCAGATCCTCCTGCAGAGCCTTCCTACCCTCGAGCAGATTGACACACGCGCATAGCTTGGTGTCATCCCACACACACACACATACCCATCCACCCCACGGCGCGCCTTTTGCCCGTTCTCCCCGTTTTTTCCCTCAAAACGGCGGCTGACCACCAGACCACCACCCCTATCCCCCTTTAACAGCGTGCCCGGCCTCCGTTTGCGGAGGGCTCCGCCTCTTCTATGGCTCCCCCTCTGCCCAGAGCGTTTCCGGGACGGGACGGGGCGGGGACCGGGCGCCATGGCGGGCGCCCGGGGGGCGCTGATCGCCCTGGAGGGGGTGGACAGGGCCGGCAAGAGCACGCAGGGCCGGCGGCTGGTGGAGGCGCTGCGGGCAGGCGGGCACCGCGCAGACTTGCTCCGCTTCCCCGGTAGGCGGGGATGGGGCTCGGGGGGGTGGTTTAGGGGGGCGGGGGTTTAAGGGGGCGGGGGGTTGGGGGACCCCGTTACCGAGCTGTGTCGCCCCTTCGGTTGCAGAGAGGACGACGGAGATCGGGCGGCTGCTCGGAGCCTACCTGGCGGGGGAGAAGGACGTGGAGGACCACGCCGTGCACCTCCTGTTCTCCGCCAACCGCTGGGAGCACGTGTAAAGATGGCCGGGGGGAGGGGGGGGGAGGTGGGAACGCTCGGGATCCCCCCCCGAGACCCTCCCCGAGCCCCCCGTCAGCCCTCGGGATGGAGCCCCCGCAGGGCTGGGGGTCAGGGCCAGGCACGGCCTGCTCCGGGTCAGCAGCCCCCCTTCAGCACCCTAAAGGAGCTGCCCTCCCTGTGAGCTCCCCTCCCAAATCTTCACCCAAAGGTGGAGGCTTCGGACCCGTCCCCTGCAGCTGGCTCTGTGCTGCTGGGCACAAACCAGGGGGTTTCAGAGCCGCCTGGGAGCCCAAAGGGAGCGGGCAAACCACCACGTCACCCACCCCTCAGCACGGCCTTTGGTGTACCGAGCTGCTGCCCCAGCCTGGGAGCTACTGCTTGTGTGTTTTTTTTGCCAAACTGAAGCTTTGTGTGCGTAGCTGGGGCTGTTGGTGACAGCTGTTGCACTTATCCGGACCTCTGCACTGCGAGATGCTTTCTGTTTCTGCAAAAGCTTCACTGATTCTGCTGTAGCAGGGGTGCCGAGCAAAGCGGGAGGGCTGCAGTAAGAAATGTCTGTTGTAAACAAAGGATGCTTTTCTCTGACAGAGGCAAGTATTTCAAACCTACTGCACCGCTTAGGAAGGAAGGAAGACTAAGCTGCTCGTGCCTGGCTGTAGCTCGTCGGTGATCGTGCTGCAAGCTGTGGAGCTGCCTAGAGCAATGCCCTGCAGTGGTGCACCCTGAATGTGGGTGTCTCAAAAGGGTATTTGCTAAATATCATAGAGGGTGGAGCACAAATAGGAATTGATTCGTGATCAGTGTCACCGATGACCCTGATGCTGCTAATGACCAGTTTGAAGTCGGAAGTGTAACTTTTTTTTCTCCTCCATGGTTTTCAGGCCTTCGATGAAAGAGAAACTATGTCAAGGGGTCACGCTTGTGGTTGACAGATATGCCTTTTCTGGAGTGGCCTTCACAAGCGCCAAGGAGGTGAGTGAGGGACCCGGCAGGCCCTGCCTCTCTCTATATTTGGATAAACAGGAAATGGGGAGAGGCCTGCTCTCGAGGTCGGTCTGTGTGGCCCAGGCTCCTTTTCTGGGGAAACGTGGATTGAAATGGGGGATGAAAGTTTCAGCTTAAATGTTAACGTGGCCTGTTTGCCTGTGTCTACCCCAAAAGAACAGAGAAACTCATTAGGTTACTTGTTAGCGAGGTAGGCTCACTCCGGAGTTGCACTGGGGAACCCCAAACCAGACATGGCACTCGTGTGGGTGCAGGACAGACGGGAAGAAGGATCACTTTCCTCGTGCTTATGGATGCTGCTGGCCTTTGCGGCCAGGGCATGCTACTCACTCATGGTGAGCTCAGTATCCACCACGAGCCTCAGCCCCTTTTCTGCAGAGCTCCTGCCCAGCTGGTCAGCCTCCAGCCTGTCCTGGTGCATCAGGTTTTTCTTCCCCAGGGCAGGACTTTACATTTGCCTTTTTTGAATGTCTTGAGGTTCCTGGCAGCCTGTTCCTCAGTGTGTTGTACCCCTCCAGATAGCAGTCCTGCCCTCCCATGTGCTCACTGTCCACGCCTGGTGTCATCCAGAAGGTTGCTGAGGGAACGCTCTGTCCTGTTGTTTCAGTTGTTAGAGATGTTGAACCGTACTAGGAACCGTGCTATTCGTCCTCGAGTGCTGGCACCAGCAGCCACCTACCAGCTGGACTTTGTGCCACTGGTCACCACGCTCAGCCCAGCAGCCTCGTCATTTTTTTTGCCAACTTGACTGTCCATCTGCCTGTTCATATCTCACCAGCTTGGTGGAAAGGAGACCATGCTCACGTCAAGGTACAGAGCATCTACTACTCTCCTCAGATTTGTCTTCAGCATTCCTGAGAAACCTGGACTGCTTGTGCCCAGCAGATACATGGGTGATTAAGGTCTTGTATGACTATCAGGGCCTGCAATTGTGACCCTTCTTCCATCTGTATGAAGAAGGCTTCATCGATGTCCAATCTTCAGGTGTGTCCCCGAGCCTTAACCATAGGCTCCCACCTGGCTCGTCTCCTGTCCCAAGGCAAAGCTCCCTGTGCTGCAGACGCTCCATGGCAAACAGCACAACCCCTCTTTCTCCTCACCTTCCAGCCTGTTTCCTGAACAGCCTCTGTGGATCGATGGCAGCACAGCAGTCTGGCAGGCTGTCCCACCTCACCCCTGTAATCTGAGCAGGATCACAGCCCCGCAGTGTCCCTGTGCAGGGACATTCCTTGGGTGTTTCCCATGTTGTGTGCTTGAGATGGGTCCCCAGTAGTGCCACTTTCCAGAGAGCATCTGCTCTCATATTTTCCCTTAGACACTTCCTCTTTGCCTGCCACCTTCAGTTCTCTACAGC